TTTGCATATGAGCCTACTAATTTAACAATCTTTATTTAACCCTCGAACTGCGGCATCATCACTCTGTGGTGTGGAGCTTTTCAGAGCTTTTTGAGTGCCTTTTGAAATTGCATTAAATGACATAGAAATATTGAAGCAAGACCCCAATAATTATATATTTTTAGAAAGGTAAATGGATGGGGATAAATTTGGCCATATTGCTCACCCCGTAAAAAATTTTTTGCTTCGTGTCCTTGACTTTGGAGTTTTCAAGAAAAATAAAATCGACAAAATGTTTTGCTTTCAAGTGCTCATAACATTATTAATTTGTTTAGATACACTTAAAACACAAATCTAAATCTTGTAGCCAATTTATTTATCTATCAGGAAATGTATAGTTTGCTAAGGTTTTGATTGCAATTAAACATCTGAAAGCAATTTTAGTAATTTTAGGTCATTTATATAAGAAACTGGGACCACTGCTAAAACCAAGTACAAAATACAAAATCTCAGGCAAAATAGTTATTGAGACTAGTAAACATTTAAAAAGGATCTGTGGAACTGATTTGGGTAATTAAACTATAAAATATATTAGTTCTGATCTACAATCTGTAGCTTCTGTGACTAAAATTCAGTCAGTCCTTGCCCAACCTCCGGGCCTTGCTCGAAGTCAAACAGTAGCCTCAGTAGGCCTTCTTCAGTATCACTAAGACTAGTATCAGATTCACGAAAAAAAGAATCTGAAGTGAAATGTCATGGGGAATGTTAAAAACATCATCAGTATCACTTAAATCCTCTCCTAAAAAGCTTTCAAAAATATTTATATTAGTTCTCGCACAGATGGCCCCGCCACAGCTTCCATCATTTTTGCTTTAAAAAAATCAGCGATATAAAATTCCGATTAAAATGTACTTATTGTTAAGTTATCAAGAAACAGCTTGACCCGGAAGTTGATTTAATTATTAATAAAAGGAAATGGCTATGATTTTGGTTAAATATTTAATTGGAAGTTGCTATCGGACCGTGTTATTTATCGGCTGAATATTTCGGCCGCCACAGCACAGAACGAGAATATCGGCCGATTTTGTCGGCTGACCACAGTTCAAGGGTTAAAAATATAGATAAATTAAGTACTTAAAATTATAAGCCTACCAATGACTGTGATTTCTACTGTGACAGTTGTTGAAAGTTTCACAAGAAGACCACTGTCTGCAATTTTCACTGTCAGCTTGTATTTGCTGTCTTTTTCCCTATCCAAGGTTGCATTAGGTGTTAATTTTATCACACCTAATGGGTTTACTTCAAATATATTTTCCCCTGAAACTAAATTTGGAAAGATTTGAAAATAATGTTAATTTGTTAGGAAACTTCAACATCACTCCCTTGATAGCCATCAATTTAAAAAAATCTGCTCATGATTTAGTAAATAAAGGGATGGAATAAAGTTTATTTTAAAATGACAATGCTATCATTTGAGACTTGAGATATGCAAAATTTTATTTAAAAAATCACATATTCCAGTGCCAAAAATGATTTCTAAAATGTTTAAACTAAAGTATTTTGTTTTCTCAAAAAGCCTTTATATTTTCCTAGAGAAACTTTCAATATATCTGCCATTATCCAACAAAGGGCAATGCACATTTAGAGTGATTACACAGCCATTTTTCTGCTGGAAGATTGAAAATCATTCCTCACAACTGACCATTATCTTTTTTAAAGTATATCAACTGAAATTAAATCAGAGAAAAGAGAAATTACCAAAGGAGTAGGTTAAATTGTTGTTTAAATTTGATGGATCCTTGTCATCATCTTGACAAATCAAGGTCATGATAGTGCTACCAGCTGGCACACTCTCAGATATGAAAGCTGGATACAAGTCAGAGCTGCATGTTGGTGTGTTATCATTCACATCGGTTACTTCAACTATAATGACAGAGTAATCAAGTTGTTTTTGAGTAATAATGAGGTGAACATTTACCATATTTTACTGACTATAAGATGATACGGACTATAAGACGCACCATAATTTTTAACACTTTTATATTGTTTTCAAGTATACGACGCACCTGAATTTTGGGGGCAATTTTTTTAAAGAAAAAAGTATGTCTTATAGTCCGTAAAATACAGTAATCAATATTAAATAGCTGGACCATAAAAAAATTGTGCAAAGCTGATGAGTTAAAATAAAGATAATTTAAAACCATTTTTTTAAAAAGTCTTATAAGTGTTAGGGTCCCAAACACTTTATATTTTTCAACAAAACTTCATCCTTTGTTAGATTTTAAATACCTGTCAATGTTAAAGTCCCAGTGCGAGCAGGTACACCTTTATCAATGGCTTGAACTCTCAAGATGTGGAACTGTTGTGTTTCTCTGTCCAGGTTTCCAATCACCTTGATTTTTCCTGAATTGGGGTCAATATTGAAAGGACCTGGCAAACAAATCATAAATAATAATTAGCATAAAGCTGTAAAAATTCAAGTTATAGAGCACCAAAACAAAAAAACTACAACAAAAACAGTTATTTTTCAATTGCAGTTTCCTTTTCATTACTCAGTCAGTTTCAGTTTAAAAACAGCTGAAACATATTCAATTTTTGGAAATGAAACAATTTGGGGTTGTTGATTTCTTTGCACTCCAAAGTGCTGGCAGCCCCCAAGTTATAAATGTATAATTTTGTGGTTCTTTCCTGTTATATTAAGAATCAAACAGATAATTAGTGGAATTTTAGTAGCTGTATCGCCATCATTGAAACAGACTAGAACTGTATGGTTTTCCTGGAACTTAGTTTAAAATAAGTTGCAAGAAGTTAACATTTACATTTAAATGCTGGGATTCTCATTATGCAATGACCAGTTCACAAAATTACAATAGATACTATCACATTGAAAGTGGCAAAATCAAATTAAATTTGTGTTGAATTACAAGACAAATAAAGCAATGTCGTCTTAAGCATTTATATTTGCATAGACTGTCTTACACTTTAAATTAAGCCAGCAATAGTTTAAATTAATGTATTTTCTTGTGATTAAATGTAATCAAGTTTTAATGTAGCTGAACAGAAAACAAATACAAACAAAATTGGATCAAAATAACGTGTGTCAGAAAGAATAACTTATAAACAAAGGATAAAGAGATAGTTCACAGCCGTGTTTCTAATTCAAGCTACACTGACCAGAATCGATCCTGTAGAAGATGACCCCATCAAGACCATGGTCAGCATCTGTGGCACTCACCTGGCAGGGATCAAATGAATATCCCTCTAACCAACAAGTTTTATAAATGTTTCAACATGAATAAATAATATATGGATGAACTTCATGGGTTTACTCTTTTAGCATTGACTTTTCCTACTCACTACCACAGTAATGATGATGTAGTAGAAGTAATTAGTTCAACTAGGCTGGGTGACATTTCTTGGTACTTTCATACCTCAGATGCTTCATATATTATGAGGTACCTTCACTGGTACCACAATTTAAAAATATCTAAAACTGCTAACAATTGTGATTGTTGAATAGGGTAAATGCAATTTTCTAATTAATTGTCAAGTGTACTCAAATCTTTGGCTTAACTGAATTATCTAAATTTAAAATAGGAGCCAATATCCATATGCAAAAATCTTTAAAAAGACAGTTATTGCAACCCATACTTACAGACACTGTGACATTGGAACCAAAGACTGTGTTTTCAGGGATAGGAAGAGTTACATTTCCTGGATTGAACACTGGGGTAAATTCATTGACAGGTTTCACTAAAATGCTGTAACTGACATTGGCATAGTGGACCCCATCTGAGGCTTGTATCACAAGGCTGTAGTTGGTGGTGGTTTCATAGTCTAATGCAGATGAAACTGTCAGGGCTCCACTATTGTTAATACTGTTTTGAGAAGAATAGAAGAGTATTGTAAAAAAAAATGAGTGAGATTATAAAATTTAGTGCTAAAAATATGCAAGCAGTGCAACAGTAAGGGCTACAATAAAAAGAAAGAAAAAGTATAAAACCCCTAAGGTGTTTTCCAGTATTTTCCATGAGAAGTTAAATAATTACTCTTAAAAAATATTAATTATTGGAGTAAAAAATATAGTGAGCATAAAATTAAATGAGTCTTTCTCAATAAAATAATTTTCCACAAATTCTCTTCACATTAAAAAAAAAAGGAATATTTTATCAAAACTATCCATCAACATTGGAATTTAAATGATTTCATTTTTAAAAATAATATGCTTAAATTATATATATAAAAAGTTTGAAGAATAGCTCATTCAGTTATATGACATCTATAAATAAAAAAGAGAAACAAAAAGTACAGAGGACATCATGAATACAAAAATAAAAAAGGTTTGGAAACCAAAGAAAACTCAATGAACAATTCAAAGAGGAAGTAGTTTTCTCACCAGTTTAAATAGTTCATCAGCCCACTTACTAAAATCAGATACCAATCATTAAAACATTAATGATTTAAAGAAGCAAAACAAAACAAACAAAAAAACTTGAGCAAAATGGGAGATTTGCATATTTGCTGATAAAAATATGTATACCTGAATTTTCCTCCAGTGTTTCCATCTATAATGGCATATGTAACATTTCTGAATGCTGGTGAGATATCCCCATCAGTAGCTGTCACAGATGCAAGGCTAAACCCAACAGCAACATCCTCTGATACTGCTGCTGAGTACACAGCAGGGTTGAATACAGGGCTAGAACAGAGAGATTTAAAAAATAAAAAAAACTTTTATGAAATGCAGGTGAAATTAAATATTCTAATGCAGTTATTTAAAATCAATTAGCTCATTAATAATTAAGCATGACTTTTTATTGACACAGGAATAGTAAAAAATTAAAGCTTAAATCTAAAGCAAATGTAAACTGTTAAACACCTCACTTATTTTATCTCTTTAAGCATTTGAAATATCTGAAGTCACAATAAGTTATATGTTTTAAAAATAATCTTTTAAAATTGGTTTCCAAGTAGTATGGTGAAGAAACAGCCCCCCCCCCAACCCCCCATTCAAAAATATCTTACGTCACATCGTTTACATCTTTTAGAGTTATGGTGAAGTTTTGACAAACTTTGCGTTTTGTTGGATTTTGGGTGTCCTCAGCACACACAGTCTGTATAATCTGATTCCCCACTTTTTCATAATCTGGAGCATTTCCTTTAAGTGAGATCTCACCAGTCACTGAAATGTGATTATTATTAACATTTATTTACTTACAGAAAAAAGTTGTGGAGAGATAATTCTACTTAACAAAACTACTTTTTGATTTTTTTTAGAATGGAAAATTAAAAATATTTAATAGAACTTCTTGGTTTCTAAAATAAATTATTTAAAAATTAAAAAGTTATAAATATGAAAATAGGAGCCCACACACTTAAATATATTGATCTAACATTTTGAAACTGAATTATAACATTTGTAACTTCATTACAGATGTAGAAAATCTCAGTGTGTGTTGTGTGATTTTACCTGGTGAAATGTCAAAGTAAGTTTTATCTTGGAGGGAATAAGTGATCACATCCAAGGGTCCATCATTACCAGTTGCATTAACCCTATACAACGACCTGTTGCTTATCGTTTCATTTTCAAAGAGCTCAAATGTGAAAGGACCAAAGAACAATGGGTCATTGTCATTGATGTCAGTTATCTTAAGGTTAATTGTGACTGTTGTGTTATGAATCGGCTGCTTGTTGTCTTCCACCTGTACATTGAATATATCTTTGATACAGTATTTTGAATAAGTTTTTCCAAAATTATCTAAAACCATGCTGAGACTAGTAAAGTGTATTAAAACTGGATCTCAAAATTAGTGTCTATGAAATTTCTTCTCTCATACATAAGTAAATAACTAAGTAACTTCCCAAACATTTAACTTGCTAATTATTTATCAAGTAGACTGATCATTTTATTTTGGGAAGTAAAAAAAAATCTGTTGTGGGATAAGATGAGGAAGTGCAAAAGTTTGGTGAACAAGATAGTTAACAATACATAGAAAATGTTGATATATAGTGCTGTACATGAAAGGGGGAGTTATGAAATGATTTCTAGAAGGGATTTAAATATTATAGATGTGGCAATGTGCCACTATATAAGAGAATCCACTCTCATAGTGTCACTGCTATGGGTAACCCCAAGCACGTACACATCCATTATCCATGGTCATTCAACGTAACACTCAGCCGTGTACTGGCCTTAAATTTTATGTAGGTTATTTAGACGCGGGAATAACCATCCCTGCTACGGGGTTGACCCATGGTCAGCTCGGACGCGGGTTCCCTGTGACTGTGTGTGTGTGTGGGAGGGGGGGGGCGAACTGGGACTTGAGGTGTGTACATTTTTGGAGATTGTGGTGTGGAACGGATGCGTCGGGTCGATGGCAGGTGTGAGAGATTTTCCTGTCGGCTCTCGGTAGCTTACAGTTTAAATGAAATCACAAAATATAACAATCAGGTCTGAGAACTATAGCTTTTAATGTAAGGTACAATCCGTTGACAGAGCCGACAGGAAAATCTCTCACACCTGCCATCGACCCGACGCATCCGTTCCACACCACAATCTCCAAAATGTACACACCTCAAGTCCCAGTTCGCCCCCCCC